ACAGAGCTCATTCTTTATTTGTCAATACTACCCAAAACTTCCCAGTTTTCTAAAACAGCTGAATCTGAAAATATGTGACAGAAAATAGCCAATATGAAATCACTTACTGAAACTGTTGAACTGGGAGTGTTTGTACCATACCCAGAAGAAGGGAGAGATGCCAGTGACCAACGCCGTCCATCAGTCCTAAAGTGTATTTGAGTTTAGTCACAAAATACAACTGCAATTTTACCATGCCAAAATATTCAAATTGGGTTTATGCAATATTGACCAAAAGGAAAATACAGCATTATAAGCAAGCCTTATTCAGTGCATTTCTTTAAAGCATGTGCAAATGTTTGGAAACAAATGGAAGACTTCATCATTCTGATTAGCCAATTCAAAATGCTGACTAGGAAGAAAATAGAGAAAACAGTGGATAACCATCACAATCTACGTACTAAATATAACACATGTAGATTGACAGTTAAAGTAAATCCAGAATAATAATTATTTTATTTGAAAAATGCAACAGAGATCATTATATTTTTGGCAAAATATTGATCGTATGGAACATTTTTTTGATCTTTAATACATGTAATGAAATTTGAGACATAGAACTACCAACCTAGTTTCATTCCCAGTCACAGTCTAAATATTTATCTAACACATATATAGCTGTTGCTTATGCTTTAAATTTCACTACTGCCAAGCAATATTATGCTCAAATATCAACAATACATAAATCAGGAAACTCAACCAAGCTAGACTGTACAGCAAATTACATGCATAATATGAATGATATAACTACCATATAAGAAAACTTTGCTCAACATTGTTCAGAATTCAGCATGCAGAAACACAGGTATATTTAGTCCTACATGTGAATGTAACACTTTATCTACCACAAAGATATGTGCCTAATCCAGTTTAAATACACATACATGGAAAAGAAACACAGAAACACCCCACACAAGCACTCCTTGTTTTCTCTCTATGAGGCAAAAGAAGCAGGCAGAATACAGAATAGCTGCAGATTGTATCTGGACTAGCTGTGATGACCGATTCAGCCTTGCACAGGTATGGCTACAACAGTGAGCACAGCTTGTACAGGTTAGAGATAGTTACCTTTCATTTCGATGCCCATGACTGCAAATGTAATTGTACCAAATATAATTAGAAAGAAATACAAAAGGACAACTTTTAAAGTATGGATAAGTTACACAGAATCTTCAAATAACGTGGGATTAATTGTTACAGTTGATTTCTCTAACAAAGAAAATCTGACTACCAATGTTAACAATTTTTGATGTACAAAGAGATACTGAACTGAATGATACAAATTTCTAATTCTTCCAGGCTTCCCTGGTTATTTATAAAATTTATTCAAGTATCCTGTGAATGAAGTTTTTGATAATGCTATGGAGGTGCTCTAATTTGATTTTTGTCACATAGTGAAGATGGGACAAATTGAATCAATTGATTGAATCAACTGAGTTCAGGCATCAGATAAGCATCAATTGCTCCCAAATTATGTTGATTTTTAAATATTTCAATAGGGAGCACTATTAGAAGGGGAAAAGAGGTTATTCAACTATATATAGAGCAAGAATATAAATTATTTTAGCATCAAATTTCACTGTTATTTATTTTTGTTTATATTTCAATCAGTATTATTCTATATGCATACCTGTTTTCTACTTATGGAATGGGTGAGTTTAGACAACATCTTATAGAGAGACAGTGGCAGGTTACCATAACATAATTTGCAATAGAGCTTGTTGCAAAAGATTATGTATCTCATTAACAAAGGAGAATATTTATAGCTTAGGGTTGAAATGAAGGGTCTTTGTGCTCTCTGAGTTTGGTTGTTCCTTACAAACGTTTTATTACCGAACTAGGTAACATTATCAGTGCTAGAAGATATGCTCTCAATTTATATTCTAGTGGTTTGCACTGTCAGTGTTGATAGGAATGGTTGTGGATTCTCTTTGGTTGGAATAAAAAAAAAAACACCTCCCCACTAGCAATCAACACCCAGATCAGCATAGATTAAAATCAAGATTGACATCAGATCAAAAATCAAGATGTAAACAATATCCAATCAAGAAACTACTAAATAAGCTAACAGTAAACAGTCAAACCATCAGCATTATCATTAAAGATAGTATCAAAATATTTTTCTGATAATATTTCTGACATTATAAGCATATATTTTCTTACCTTCGTGCAAAAGAGAAGTGGGCTGAGGCACTAGGAGAAAAATTTCTAGGACTGTCTTGAGGACTGCTGCCTGTTATGAACAAGTTGAATATAAAATGTCTTAACAAAAAGTTCCATAAATCACAAGGTTCAAGAAGAATCTGTTATAAATTCCAATTATTATTTCTCATTTAGATGCCACTTCTTGCCACATCTTCCATGCCATATATACTTACATAAAACTGAGCCGTGGTCTAATTAAGGTACCTGGCGGGGTATCTTATGTCCTAATTCAAGGAATGTGATTACAGTAGTCCTTGACTACAACAGTTGGCTTAGTAACTGTTCAAAGTTACAAGGGCACTGAAAAAAGGGACATGACCATTTTTTATACTTATGACCATTGCGGCATCCCCATGGTCACATGATTTATATTTGGATACTTGACAACTGACTCACATTTATGACAGTTGCAGTATCCTAGAGTCATGTGATCACCTTTTGTAACCTTCTGACAAGCAAAGTGAATGGGAAAGACAGATTCACTTAACCATGTTACTAATTTAACAACTGCAGTGATTCACTTAACAAGTGTGGAAAGAAAAGTCGTAAAAGGAGGCAAAATTCACTTTACAAATTTCTCACTCAGGAACATAAATTTTGGGCTCAATTGTGTTTTAAAGTTTAGAACTACCTGTAGTAATATTTTGGTGAGAAATCTCCCACAAACATTTTTTTTAAAAAAAATTTGGACTGATATTAAATAAATGTAAATGAAAAAGCAGTTAAGACAGTGATGAATAACCATTTTTTTTCTTATCCTGGACCTTATTTCTCCAGGGAACCGTGTGCTTGGTGGACTGAAGAAACAAGTCAATGTAGCCAAACTTAAAATGGATGGATGCCCACATTATTTTCCTCAAATTCCATTTTTTCTTCAGCAGAAAATATAATTTCTATATTTCTATATTTTTTCTATATAAAAATATATTTAATGTGGATCTTTGGTTATTCAGGTTTTCTCCCGCGTAAGATTGGCAGTATCTAGGCAACGTTTCAATGAAGTCTCATTCATCATCTTCAGGCTTGTGTCTTCGGCTCTGTGCTTCTCAGATCTGAGAAGCACAGAGCCGAAGACACGAGTCTGAAGATGATGAATGAGACTTCATTGAAACGTTGCCTAGATACTGCCAATCTTACGCGGGAGAAAACCCGAATAACCAAAGATCCACATACAAATACCCGCGAGAACCTCAGAAAACAAATATATTTAAGTATATATTTAGACCAAAGAGTATTAAAATATAACATATTACAATAATATATGTAATAGATTAGTTTTCTTTCTAAACTAATGATGCAAATTGGTCATGTGTACCAATATAGGTCATTTTGTTATTAAAACATTAAACATAAATACAAATTACATCACCTGTGGAACTTTATTTTATTTCCATAACAGCATCATTATTTACAGATAAAATAATGTGGACTTCACGTTTAATTCATTAGGTAGAACATGTTCTACATTGTATTGATTTTAAAAAAAATCTAGAACGATCAGGCCATGTAGAGATGATTTGGAATGATATAAAGATGTGATTTATTGTGAAGATTTATTGGCATATTTTTTACTATTTTACTGGCAGTATTTTTTACTATTCTCACATAGCAATAGCACTTAGACTTATATACTGCTTCATAGTGCTTTACAGCACTCTCTAAGGGCCCCAACAAAAATCTGGATCCTCATTTTACTGTTCTCGGAAGGATGGAAGGCTCAGTCAAGTTTCAGCCTGTCAGGATCAAACTCCTGGCAGTAGGCAGTATCAGCCTCCAAACTGCATTCTAACCACTGTGCCACCACAGCTCTACATAAAACCATTCAACTTGCTGCTAAACAGTGGCAGACAGTGGTTGGCAGACAGTGGTTGATATCTACTTCTTCCTCTATCTTCAACATGTATAACTGGAGTGTGTGGATTTTCTACAGGCAAAATATACGTGATACAAAACAAAATTGAACTTTTTATAAGCAGCAATGCCTGACAGAAAATGAATTAGTATCTGTATAGAAATTCTTTGATAAGCCTTTACTGTGCTTCACAAAAATATATCATGCCACTTTACTGAATACAGTTGAGTTACTGCATATAGGACTTGCATTTTTCAACCTTTGTTTCAACCTTTGTTTTTTTAACTTAATAAATTATTAACGAAGCATATCATTTAAAATACGAAGACATATCAGATCTTCATTGATTAACTACTTACTATAAAATGTTCTACCAATTTAATTATGATTGTATAACATAAAATCTCCTACAAATGAAAATGAATTATAGTGTATATAACATGTTATTATTTATTTAGCATATGGTGTTTATACAATGAGAGCCAGGAAGTCTACAGTGTTATTATTAGTAGGTTGGCTGCTTAGGATTGCCAGTTTGTTTACTTCACTCACGTGCTATTCGGGGTCCACTGCAGGGGGTAAGCTAGCTCCATACAGAGGGTGGCTAACAACATTTTGCAGGTATCAGTGTTATCCAGGGCTTTCTACACCAATTTTGCCTTGCATTCGGGTGGGTCCAGTGCCAGTTGGTTCCTTGCTACCGCACAAAATGCCATTTACCTTTCACCACGGGGGTACCTATTTATTTACTTGCATTTTTACATGTTTTCAAATTGTTAGGTTGCAGAAGCTGAGGCAAATAATGGGAGCTCACTCCATCATGCAGTGCTAGGGCTTGAACTGCTGGAATACAGAGAGCTGACCCTTTCAGGCTGGCAAATACAGCGTCTTTAAGCCACTGAATGACTGGACCTCTTTTATATAATTGGTTAATCTGTACCTTGGTATAAGGGAAGATAATTTTTTTAGCCTGACTGACCAAATTAAAATATTTCTCTTTTACATATTTAAACTGCTTCTTCTAATCTAGAATATAAATCTGTTAAAATGAAAGACTGGATATTTATTATTCTGAAAAGACTTGCATGGTTTCAGTCCTAACTATTAGCTTCTCCCAATTTAAATAGAATAGCTACATGATTTACATCATAGAACAAGATCCCTTACTTAAAAGATTGCCTAATGAAAATCAGATTTAAAGATACAAAAGAATATTAAATAGGGACACTGAAATTTGTTATTTCTTAATGGGCATTTTGGTTGAAGAATTTAAGTAGCCAGATTTTTAAAATATTGTTAGACTCATATTTTTACCTTCTGTTGCTTTTAGCTACTTTTTTTTTAAAAAAAAAGATTAAAAATATTTTCTGTCATTTAAAAGAGTTTAGCCTTCTAGCTCTTTACCTAGCTCTTAACTCTTTAATCCCTTCTCAAGCTTTGTTTTTCCCCCAAATAAACCAGGAGTCTTGATTATGACTACTCTACTGAAGTTCATATTTTATTAAGGGAATGTTGCTGAGGTGTTATTTTTTTTCTTAAAAAGCTCCTATGTTCTTGGGAAAATTCTGATCTAAATGAAAACAATGAGGAAGCACTGCAACAGTTTTACAACATGAATTATGTAAACAAACTAATCAGGCAGGGAAGAAACAGAATTGTCAGGGGAAATTAATGTACAACATAGCCCTATTTGTATCCATGCATACTTGGGAGATGAGATGAGAAGCAATGCTTCATTCCTGAGTTTCAAATGCTATTTCTTTTTTCTTTCTTTCTTTGAGAAAAAGGGAGTACTGACCAGCAGGGCCACAATTTCAACATGGGGAATGGAAGAAATAAAAGGAAAGGGGATGATGGAACTGCATTTGGTCCAACCATTTCAAAGTAATATATTTTTAATAGTACTGTTATCTATTATGTATCTTATTTAATTATTTCTGTTCAGTTCACTGCCCCATATCTACCTGGCTGTTTTTAAGGGCTCAGTTTATTCTGGCTGCAAAGAATCTTCTTGGTGGACAAACTTTTATACAAGATTTTTTTAAAGGAAGGGTTTTTTTGCTGTGGGATATTTAATTGTGTGGCAATTGAGGGGAAAAATATTAAAATTAGAGCCCTGGCTATAACCTTCATAACTCACATATTTTCTCTCAGTATTTGTCCATCTTAAATCTTATTGTTCCGGAGCTTGTTGCTTTCAAAGACTTCAAAAGTGTAGTGTAGTTTGCAACTACTGTTGACTACTATTTAAACCTAATGAGGCCAGACATTATACATGTTGTTAACACAGGTTCTTCACAGAGACTCTGACACGAGAGTAGCTAATCATCACTGAGTGAATCAATCTGGTATAATAGATAAGGCAGCAGGCTAAAAACTGAAAAACTTTAGAGTTCTGATCCCACCTTAGGATGGCTTTGACCTAGTCAATCTTTCTCTCACTCTTAGGAAGAAACCATTTACAAAAATCTTATCAGCTGCTTCCCCTGGAATCCAAACTAACTCAAAGGCAGACACACATAAAGGCACACACAAATATTTAAAATAGTAAAGTATCCGAACTTATTATATGGGGAATATCATTGCACATGCACATCTATTCTTGAAATTTTTTTAATCCTGAAAACTTGGTTGCTATTGCAGCACGTGCATTATTTTATGTAATCAGGAATTTTATAATTCATGTAATTTTTCAAAATAAATGTTTTAAGGTTGGACCTGCTATTTATGCATCTGGATAGCAAAATAACTTTTTAAGGAACAATATTTGCTTGCAAAAATATTTAGGAAATACTTTTAATTATGCCAGAAGGTAAGAATATTTAAATACAAAAACAATAATTTTTTATATGAACACATATTTTTGATTCTAAGTTAAGGAAAATACTAAACTTTCACTAAAAAGACTTGTGGAAGCAGCAGGTGATTTGATTTTAGAAAATCTTTCAATCTGTAATTTGTCTCTCTGGGCCCACCAGAGACTAGGGAAATATGGAAGTACAAAAATGCAGATGGCTATTGGTAAAATACCGGAAATTGTTTTTTATTATTACATATTGACCTTCTTTTAAATGTAAGGAGATGTTTATAACCATCCTCCAGCACAGGAATATGAAGTACTGTATGTGTTTTCATTTCCTTATATTAGTGACAGCTAAATAATTGATTTGGCTCCTAGGAATGGGCTATTTTCCCAGGTCTGGAATGAAGTTTTGTGCACATATGAAATTCTCAGCTCAGGCATTCAATATTAAAGAAACAGCATTAGTGTCTTATAGGAATTCATTTAACCAAAATATTTGTTTCACTAGAAGAAAATATGAATGCACTAGAAAAGAAAATAATTTTTTTTTATGGGAAGCTACAAATTCAATCTGATTTTATAATACTCCATGAGTTTATTAAAAATAGACATTGAAAACTACATGTTTATTTTATTTTATTTATTTTTGTCAATTGCTTACAAGATAATAGGTATAAGTAAAAACATAGTTATGAATACATATAAGAAAAATAAAAGAAACAAAAGGACAGGGACAGTAGGCACATTGGTGTGCTTATGCACGCCCCCTACAGACCTCTTAGGAAAGGGGTGAGGTCAATAGTAGACAGTCTAAGGTTAAAGTTTTTGGGGTTTGGGGAAGATACCACAGTGTCAGGTAGAGTATTCCAGACATTGACCACTCTGTTGCTGAAGTCGTATGTCTCTGTCTCTTGTCCTGGACAATAAGAATGGTGGGCATATCAATAGTTGCTGCAGGCCATTCTAGAGCCTTTCAATGTTCAAGGTATGCAAAAAAAATGGAAACAGAACTGCTAAACTGAAAATGGAATCTGATCTTTGTAATGCAAAATGGGGAAATTAGTGCTAGTGCAGTACAAAGCTGGCAGTCCCTTGGAGTAAACATCTAAGAAAACATATCAACCTTATTTTATTTCTGAAGCACAACCATAAGCATGATTTGCAGAGGTTTGTTCTTGCTGCTTGGGCAAGGATGGCATTTGATCATGCTTTGCATTGCAAGGTGCTTTCTTGGCCTAGTCAAGTTGGCAGGTTTCATGACAGATGTCACCAGAAGATACTACTTTCCCAACAGATCATCCTTTCCCAAAGTGGCAAGTCTTACTAAGGGCTGCAGAAGACAAAGAGTCCCTGAGCAATTTAGTCTTATCTTACCCAATCTGCTATATCCCTTTAAAGTTGGGGTGAGTACAAGGAAATTATCAGGAAAGAAGAACAAGGCAGGCAAAGCAAGACAAGTCATGGAAGGTGACTGTGATGACCTGTCGTCTCTCAAAATAACCCCAAACCCAAAACATATATTAAAGTCTGGTAATGCCTTCAACTTAACTTCACTGTTTTATTAGGCACAGTTTAAAGTCACAAAAGTAAATAATGAGGCAAAAAGAAAACCAAAACAAAAGAGTCCCGAAGCAAGCCACGATAATTAATCATATATTCCAGGAAGATAAACGAGGAGAGTCCATGGGAAGAATGCCAGCAAAGATAAACCTCTTTCAAAGAAAACATTAAACTTTGACTCCAGCAATTCTGACTATGCAGTTACAAACTTATATACATAGCTCCCAGCTGAAAGCCACGAGGAGGATCATGGTAATCTCTTCCTGAGTAGACCTCCCTTTTCCCTGATCCTCTCCTCTCTGCGTGCCCTAGGATGGGTAGGGGATGGGCCTGGATCCTCTTCTGATTGCTCAGCCAGCCTCTGCCCTTCCCCAGCCTCCTCCACATCTCTGGAGCCACACTCCCAGTCCCTGTCAGCTGTTCCTCCTCTTCCTCAGAGTCAGTCTCCACCAGGGGCATGACAGTGACATGGGAGTTCCAGCAAATATGATCAGCAGGCAGGCAGAGGCAAAGGCATCTCTGGAACAGGGTAGCTGGAGCTGGTACATCTCATGGTCAGCTGGGCACTGTGTGTTTTGACAATGACTGAACTTTGAGGTTGAGTATCATGGTTCTAACTCTTGAAGATGCCACTCAAACGAATGACTGGGAATACACAGAGGAGTTTTAATGTTTATTTCAGTTTTTGAACTGAATAGACAAACAAGTTATTTCAATTGCAATTAAGATATTTTGTGCAAAAGCTGTGACCAAGTTTCTAATAAAATGGAGATATGGTATGTGAAGATGCTAGTCCTTAGAAAGAGGGTAATTATTTTTAGTATAAGTAATTGTAACTCATGCTACAAAGTACCCTACTATGCATTTTGATTAAGGTACAGGCTTGAATGCATATTTCCAATTATTGGTTTAATTTCATTTTATCTCCTTTTAAATACTTAATTAGTCATCTTTTCATACAGTTCAGGTAACTTAGCCTTTCAATATATTAATTATTTATTACTATATTAAAATAATAACCAACTTCATAAATTCATGGGATTCTATAAATCCAATTCAGCACAAAGGAGGAAAATGATAAGGAGTATTGATTATTTAAAATATTGGAGTAAGGTGCCACCTAATCATTACACATTACAACCCCACCTCCCATATTTGAATGGCCTCCACCCTACAGGCATTTCCAATGTAGCTCTTTGTCCAAACTTTTGGCAAGGATGATTGATTGTCCCCTTTCTTTGTTTCCATCTGGGTTTGTTTTCTTGTTTTTTTTCTGTTTGTCCTGGTTTTGTATTGTCTCTTTTGTTCATAAAAACATTTTAAAACTGTTTGTAAAGTCATTGAGAGTTATGTGGTATAAACATTTAATAACTTTAATAAATTATTAATTAACTTGAACGAAAAGAGAATCTTTACAATGGTATATTTTAATGCTTCCTCCTCTACCTTAGTCAGAAAGGTACTTTAAGATTCTATTCTTGAAAGATATTCACTAAGATGGATAGGACGACATTAAGAAGTAGCATATGTACTTTTACCTTTCTTCTATTCTAGAAAATCTCTTTTAACTAGGTTTTTAGAAAGATTTTTTAATGCTCTTTTTATTATTTTTCATAAAATAATAATAAAGCTACTTCAGGCTCGTCCCTCTTGTTTGATTGTTTCCTAAGCAGTATCCCTTTCCCTCCTCCCTTAAGTGTCAGCCACACATTCCATTGCCCCAATTCTATTTAATTAATTAATTTATTTTGATTTGTCAATCACTTACAAGATAATAGGTATAAGTATATACATAGTTATGAATACATGAAATGAGTACATATAATAAAAATAAAAGAAACAATAGGACAGGGATGGTAGGTCTAAGCTTAAAGTTTTTGGGGTTTGGGGAAGAAACCACAGAGTCAGGTAGAGTATTCCAGACATTGACCACTCTGTTGCTGAAGTCGTATTTCCTGCAATCAAGTTTGGTGCGGTTAACCTTGAGTTTGTATCTATTGTGTGCTCTTGTGTTGTTATAGTTGAAGCCGAAGTATTCATTGACAGGTAAGTCATTGCAATGTATTATTTTATATACCATACTTAGATCAGACCGAAGACGGCGTAATTCAAGGTTTTCTAGGTCTAGAATTTCAACAACGAGTATTCTAAAACAAGTAGAGTAGTAGAGAACTCTTCTTGTGAAATATTTCTGGACTTTCTCAACTGTGCTAATATCAGATACATAATGTGGGTTCCAGACTGATAAGCTGTGTTCAAGTATTGGTCTAGCAAATGTTTTGTATGCTCTAGTTAGTAGTGTGATATTACCAGAGAAAAAGCTACATAAGATTAGGTTAACAACTCTTAATGTCTTTTTGGCTATGTAGTTACAGTGGGCTCTAGCACTTAGATCATTAGAGATGAGTATTCCAAGGTCCTTTACAGAGCTTGGATCATCAACAAGGTCTTGACTATTCAGCTTGTATTTTCCTATTTTTTACCGCCACCAAAAACTCTATGAAGTGAGCTAAGCTGAGAGAGAGTGATTGGCCCAGTGATTTACCCAACCTTTTACCAAATATTTATTTGTACTTTCTTTTAGTTTATTAGTATCTACCAAAAATGAATGCAGCAAAGCCCTATCTATAAACCTATGCCATCTACAATTAATGTCAACTGCAATTGTTTTGCCTTGAGTTACAGTTCCAAATCTATTTTATGTCAGTTCTGCAGATGTTTTTATCTTGTACTGTATCCGATCAATAACAATAACCAATTTACTTTAAAAGGGGTAACTGATGTCAGCTATTCAATTGTGCAGAGAAATCAACTAGTGATGCAATTATCAATTACAATGTTACATAATGCGTTAATTACAGTATTTACATTTTTTCACTCCTACTTTATCAATGACTATTGCTGTGGTTATAAGCAATAATTATTCAAATAGATATGCCAAATTCATTGCAATAAATATTAAAACCTGTATTTCATATTATTAAATTCTACATTGAAACATATCACATGCTATACATTTATACAAAATTTCAAATTATTGTTCAGGAAAATTTGAAAATTCTAAAACAAATTTTAAAAGAGCAATTGTATTACCTGCATGAGCAGAAAGTGGTGAATGGGGCCGAGGCATAGCCGAAGACTGTCCATTACAGATCAAACTTTTTCGATTACTTGTCCGGCAACTATAAGAAGAGAGTACTTGGTTATTAAATGATAATGCATTGTAAATCATTAGTTAATATTTAAATAACTCAAAATACATAGCATCAGTGTCATCTATGTCAACACTATGTTACAAGCTTGTTATATTCTGAAATAGAAGGAATAAATCCTAGAGTTATCTTATATATGAAATAGCATAGTAGTGTATATCCTATATATCAGGGAAAATGTAATAAAATAAATTAAACCACATTTAATACATTATCCAGCAAACATATTCATCCTCCACTTTTCTCTTCAAGGTTACAAATGCAAGTTTACTTGATATAGAGCAAAGACCTTAAAGGTAAGGGAAAAGGCCAGAAAAAAATGATTGTGAAAAAAATGATTACACAATGTAATTGTGTCTGTATAGATTACCTTATGTCAAACAGAGTAATGATTGATCTGTTTTATGATATACCAATTAAAAATCTAATTATTGAGACAAATTTCACATCTGTGCTTGTTGTAAATAGATGTGGCATATACCACAAAGATAAATGTGTTGTTTTGCTCATATGCTTTGCATCTCAAATATTGCCAATTACCATTTTTCTCAATTAGAGATGACAGGAATATTATATTTATATTTCAAAATAGAAAAGATTTTTGAAGATTTTTAACAGTATTTATAAATCTTGAAATTGTAGGCAATGGTGGTCACAAGATCACTATTTGCAACCTTCTCTGCTACTTTCTTAAAAGCAAAGTCAATGGGGAAGTCAACAAGAAGCCTCAAGTTGCTCCTGTCAATCACTCCCACTGTTTTTTTTTCTGCGAAGTCCCCAGCAGGGCAAGTACAAATCCCAGCTGCATTCTAAGCCCCACGTCTGCCTGCAATCTCCCCACAGCACTCACCCATTCACTCTTGCTGCAGCATACCAGTCCATAATCCTTTAAACAAGGATTTACCTTTTTAAAATTATGAGTGTAGTTTGACATGAATTATCAAGGAGTTACTGGTTATTCAAGACTCCTGAGTGTATGCCCTACTATCTTATTACATTCTCAAATCCTTTTGTATGTGGAGATCATTTTACAATAGTGACCCAAGATTTACAGTTCTATTGAACTATATTGCTATTGTTTCCAATACTCAATATTATATGATTCACTATTCACAAAAATCCTGGCATATAAATGCTGGTGCCTTTTTAGTGAGAGTTTGTCTCACAAGTCTCAGCCAGACATTCATAACACACGTTGTACACTATGTCTCATTAATTAATTTAGCTTCAAATGTTTTCATTACTTCATTTTGATCAAATCAAGGGAATCAGTCAAATAATTTCCAGCTTTCTTTGTCTACTTCTTTAGGTTTATTCTAGATTGATAAGAAAGCCAGAGGAAAAATACTATCAATCCACTAAATACTTTTGTTCTGCTTTTTTCCTTCATTCACTCTAATACTTTAGCTAAACAATGATCTGAGTCTTCAGCACTGCCAGTAGCACTGACAATTAGCACTGTCAGTATTTTTAAGTCCTATCAAATAAAATAATGGGTATTTCTTTCTAAACTGTTAGTGCAAAACCTGCAGTACTAAATATAAAGATTCTTAATTATAAATATACTATACACTGTGAAGTCTTATAGCAAAACTGCTCTTCTTCTGCAGGAAAATGTTTTAATTATAGCAGGACAAAGATTAGAATACTCAAGAATCAAATACCTAGATTACTTTTCGATTTAAAATTGTTATGTAAAATTGTTGTATGTGTATTCAGAAAAAAAATGCCACTTTATAATAGCCATACTTATTAAATGCAGCATTTTTGATAACTTCTTAGTTATTTAATAGTCAATTCTTTTTTAAAATGAACTTAGTCCAGATAGAAACATTTGAAATAGAAAAAACCCTCAGACTTAACTATAATTCTTTAACATAATTCTTTAGGTCTACAGCCAGTTTAATGACTATCCATCTTTAATAGGAGAAATGTGCATGTATCCAATCATTAACAGATAGACAGGAACCTCTTGGCACAGCCTTCATATTATTCCAATGTTTATATATATATATAAATATAGCACACATAAATCAATATTAACATACAAACATATTTCAAAGCTATTCTCCCAATGCAGCTTTTATGATATGCAATCAACAGCACCAATAATGATACTCAAATAATACGATCCATTAAGGTTCTTTCTTCAGAGCACTATTTTACTCTGTATACAGGAGTAAATTACGAGCAATAAAGGTTAATTGCTAAAAGGAGCATGAATGGAAGATGTGCTGACAGCAATTACTCCTTATCATGCTTTTCATATGAAATTTGGCATCTGCTTTAATCATTTATAATGATTTCATTTTAACATCCTTAATTATTAATATTTGCACTTGTAATGAAGATGGATACAAGCTTTAAAATACTATGGCAGCACCTTTAGGAGCATGTGCTGACTACTGCACTTTGCTGCAATGTAGCCCATAATTTAGTTGCCATCTGGATGAGCAGGAGATGAAGCTTAAAAAGAATATGAACCATTGTATTTGAAAAGCTACTGTGAAATAAAATAATACAGTCTGCCAAGAAAAATATGGGGAAGAACTTTCGTTACAAAACTTAGTTGCAGTAAGCGAAAGATAAAAAAAGATAGACGTACACAGATTCTTTTCCCTCCTTTATTTTCTTTGTAATAAAACCTATGCCAAACATCTCTTTCCAAGAAATAGAGTAATTCATTTTTACTTTGTTTATACGGCATGCATTATGAAACATGCTGATCTGTCATTTCAATTATTTGCTGCCTTTCCAAATTCAAGTACAAAAAGTTATCTATAAATGCAACATTTTAGGATCTGGATAGCAGAAATTATCTATTAGATTATACATGTGGCTGAAGTACTGCAAGTGGCTAAGAAACCCCCAACTGGTTGAAAAAAGCTGTTATTTAAAAAAGTCAAAGAAGTTAGTAAGTTTTCACTTAAAAATACTTCTTCAAAATTTCAACAAAACTATTAATATGGGATAAGAAGGCTTTTAGCAATAAAACAATCTTGAATGCAGTTGTAATTAATATGTTGCTATTAGACAGATACTAGTTATTGGCTTAGTTTCAACATAATTTCTCCTTATTAAAATGTGTCACAAGAAATCTGACAGTAAAATTCCTCTTACTCTATACAGTACTGCTTCCAAAGAAAGTAAAATATTGTTCTGTGCCTTATTTTGAAATACAATGCAGTTTCTTGCTAGGGACAAAACAATATTATGCAGCTATCATTTCCATTACAAAGAATCTATCAAATTTTGTTTGTACTCCAAGTGGAATAAATCTTGTCCACTAGCAATAAATAGGAAATGTATATCAAGTTTCATATTTACTTCAGCCCTTCGTGTGGTTATAAAATCTCAAGGGGATATCCTCCCAGATTCAGTATCTATATACTGAATATATTAACTGCCCTTATCATTTCTGATTTTTCTGCTGATACTACAGGGAGATAAAAAAAATATGTTTCCTCTTTAAAAGTTTATTTTGATCAGCTTGGAAAAATTAGGTGATAAGCAATTTTGTCTTTGTTTTTTATTTTATCAAATAATTGAACCATACTGAAGGAGAAAAGCAGAAAATAAAGTAGAAAAAAACAGAAATTTAAAGGTGACCTGCACACAACTGCTTTTCAAAACCATATAAAGCAAAACCATTGCACAGAAAAGAGATGGAAGATCTATAGTGCTAAAGCAAGTATTTCTTTTCTGATAGCTTTTAAGGGTATCTCTGCTTTGGAGTGCCTGTACAAAACTTGTGAAGTTACCTTCGCAGCTTGGCTGGGAAAGCAGCCAGAAATTTTGTATTTCTAAATAAAAGAAGACAGTGATAAATTTTTGAATTACAAAAGTGGTAAACTTAAAGAAATGAATCATTAGAATTATAGGAAAAAGAATCAAAATGGTGTGAACTTCACAATTCTGGAATTCCCTTCAGAATAAGGAGTTCAGTTATGCTGACCAGCATGGTTTATGATTAGATTTAGATTTAAACTTCACATACTCTTGCACACTAGAGTATATGAAGCACTGAAAGCCAACTTGGGATACTGGTTAAGGCACCAGGCTAGAAACCAGGAGAACAAAACATCTAGTCCTGTTGGGAACAAAGGAAGCTGGATGACAACCTTGGACCGATCACTCTTTCTCAGACCAGCAATGGCAAACCACTTCCAAACATTTTCTCAGGTAGTCCCGGGGGTGGGGGTGTCAAAACAGGGAGATCTATCTATCGAGATAAATCTAGGGAGATGGTACCATGATATAAAAGAAAAAGGAGACACTGGGTTATTTCAAACAAAATAACTATTCATAAGACAATTCATAAGAATAAATGATGTTTCTCAAAGTTTAAAAGAGAAAATTTAGCTATTCAACTTTTAAAAAATATAGCCATGATAGGTATATAGCTATGAAGAAATTATTTCTTGTTAGAATGGTTATTTTATTTAATCAAAAGGGATTAATGATGTAGTAGGCTCAGCTCTTGGAAGAACCTCTTTTCCTGCAGTTGTTTTCAAATATTACTCACCTAGACCTAGTCAAATTAGAAGAGGCGCCAGAGTATCACAACCTTTTGGCAAAATGATGAAAGCAGCATTGCCATTACAACATAAGCTCTGTACCTTCCATACCTCCATGCAACATCATGTGCATACAAAAAGGCTAGAGCTTGCATTTCAATGCTAGTTCCATCTTGCATCCTCCACACAGTTCTGTGAATGCTTCTGCCAACTTCTGTGAATCTCACAATAGTTTAAAATGTCCATTATACAGTTGATTCAGAAAAGCTTAAAAATTAAGGCAAACATTTCAAACTCATTTTGATTTTCAGATATTAGCAATTATCCACATTGTAACTGAATGTAATCCACAACAATCGCAATGTAGGTAACAGGATGTTGGCTGGCAATGTAGTCTGCATGCAATTTAGATTGCATAGAATAATATATGCATGCTTGGATAAAACTGGCCTT